GGAAAGAGAGCGATTATTTTGTTTTCGTGTTAGTGGGAGTGGCCCTTTGGGAAGGTTTTTTTTAAGGTCACACTTGTTTAGAGTCCATGCTGTTGGTTTGCAGGGCACTAGCTGACATGAATAATGATGGAAGAATGGATCAAGTGGAGTTTTCCATAGCAATGAAACTTATCAAACTGAAGCTACAAGGATATCAGCTCCCCTCTGCACTTCCCCCTGTCATGAAACAGCAGCCAGTTGCTATTTCTAGTGCACCAGCATTTGGTAAGTCTGAAAATGAATTGGTTCCTGTATTTCATTGCATATTTTAAAAATAATTGTTTCCCTCCCCCCCCCTTAGTTAATAGCATTAGGAAATGCTAAGAGAATTAAATATAATGGCTTAAAATGCAACGGCTTATATTTTAAAAATATGCTGGCTATTGCAAGAAAATAGTGTTAAGATAAAGACACCTGTTCAATCCGAACCCTTGGATGAAAGTAATCAAAATGAAAGCAAAAGTGCAGATTGTCAGTATGAAAGGAACAAATTTGTAGTCTGCTCCTATGTCTTCTGTTTTTTCTTGCATTTCACATTGATTCTTCTCATTGCCGCTTACTTCCTTTCGGTTTTCTGTTTCTGTAATGTCTTTGCTTCTCCTTGTGTATAAACGATTCCTTTGGAGTATGATATCTAGAAACATAGGTTTTGATTCACAGTGTTTAGGGAATTTGCCACATTAAACTCTTCTATAGAACAGAATGGTATAAAAACCCAAAACATTGTTATCCCAATTAGAAATGAAATTCCTAAAGAAAAAAACAAAAAAACTTTCAACCAGGTAATTTTCTTATAGCTTAATTGGTAATCAGTTCACTGAAATCACCCGTAATTCTGATTGCTACTCTGTCCTCATTGCAGATTTTAATTGCTTACGTTGATTTGATATTAGCAAAGAGTAGATCAGATCTAACATCTAATTCATGCGGAGGTTTTTAAACAGTTTAAAACATAACACTAACATTGTGGATACAGTTTCTTTTCTTTATTCTGATGTGTCAGATGATAGATGATAAAGAGCAGTAGATTTGGAGAGGACAGTCAGTAGTAATTTAAGTTGTCTTTGATATAAACTAATGATAAGCTAGGATAAATAAATACTCTGGCTTTACTTATTAGATTTCTTATTAAACAGCGTGTTGTCTTTCCTTTGGGAGGTTTAACAGTAAGGCTAGTTTTTATAAAGGGAAATGTATGGGCTTGGGGACAGTTTTTAGTCAAGAAAGACAGTGGTCCAAAAGAAGAAGGAAAAAAGCAAGTCTGATGAGCACAGGCCTGGAGGAGTAGAAATGAATGGTACAGTAGGCCCCATACGTCCAAGACCCTTGTTTGCCTTGTCCCTTGCATGTTCACAGTACTTAGCCTTTAGTTACCAGTGTTTAAGTGGAAGTCGCTCTGTATTACTGACAGACCCTGTAGCCAACTTTTGGTCAAGACCATGTGTTAAGTTAAAAGAATGTATGGTTTTCTTTTGGCCTCTTTCCTGCGTTGTAAAAAGAAACTTCATAGGGGAGAAGGGGTCAAATGACCAGAGGCATCCATTGCTTCTTTCCCCCCAAACCTGTGTAAGTCAGTAATCACTTAACATTTGTTTTCTCTAATTCCATTCTGCTATAGCAATTTCAGCTAGGGAGATATTGTTGGCTTATTTTCAGGAGGCTGTGGCTTTACTGCCGAGGGCTTTATAGTTCCTTAAGTAAACTTGCCGCTGCTGCTGGAGGACTCCACTGGGGTTTCTGATCCTACACTGCTTGCCGGCCTTACCTCCTCACCCTTGCTTCTCCCTCCCTTTCCTCACCTTCTCCTTACAGCACATACTCAGCAAAAGATTTTCAAGAGGATAAACTGTGAGGAATATCATGACGGGAAATTAAAGATACTCGGTCCTAGGACCAGCAGTTAGTGTAATGGCTATGTCACTGGACTCCCATGTAGTCGACTGCGGTTCGAGTCCCAGACCGGGTGGCTTTAAACTCACACCGGGCTCATGTGCCTGCTTGCCCAAGATCCTGAGAGGAGAATGGAGGAGAAGGGATTGTGTGGCATGGCCATCCCAGGGGGGGGGGGAGCGCTGTGATTTCTTGCTTTCCGTCTCTCTGTCTCTCTGTCTTTCTGGCGAGCACACATGCCCTATAGCAAAAACCTCTCAAAAAATAAAAAGATACTCAGTCCTAATCAAGTTTAACCAAGTTAACTCAAGGATCTACTCTTTGCTAATATCAGTAGTGCCACCTTTCTGCTTAACCTAGAATAATTTTTTCTTACAGTGCTTCCAGCTACTTGAGGATGAAACAATTTATTACTACTGTTGTCTTCTAATTAACATTAAAGATGATCTGACTAGATTGGCTAAGTGACATGGTCGTTAAGGCAGCTGGATACCACATGGCTGACCATGTGATGTGAGCCCTGGATCCAGTAGCTTGAGCAACGTGCAGGGTGTTTGTGCATGCGTTCTCTAACATACTGAGAGGTGGGAGAGAGGGAGGAAGAGAGAATGTGGTGTGACCATTTCCCACGGGGGATGCTTTCTCCTCTCCCTTTCTTTCTGTCTCTCTCTGGTGAGCACCTTCTAGCAAAAAAATCCTCAGTAAAACAACCAACCAAACAATAAAAAATTGACCATTTACTTCATAGCGCTTATATACAGTATGTGCTGTCACGTATGGTATTTTATTTCATCACAATAAAAGCCCTAAGCATATGTAGAATTTATTAACCCTGAGATTCTGAGAAGAGAATGAGAAAAGTGAACTGCTAAGAAGTTGCGCAGGGCCAGCAGGTGGCATAGTGGTTAAGGGACTGGACTCATACATGACTGACCACAGTTTGAGTCGTAGACCCAGCAGCTTGAAAATCACTCTGGACACGAGTGTGTGCGTGCCCAAAATCCCAAGAGGAGAATGGAGGAGAAGGGATTGTGCGAGGCCATCCCCCCTACCCCCACGGGGTGATTCCTCACTTTCTCTTTCTCTATCTCTCTCTAGTGAATACATGCAACCTATTTCAAAAACTTATAAAACAAAAACAGGGTCATAGAGTAGAGAGATTGATGGGACAGGGTAACCAAGAAAAATTCTCTGAAGAGATGACTTTCCAGCTGACTTAGATGACGAGAGGTATGTGAAGACCTAGGGGAGAAGCCTTTGATCAAAAAGGAACCGTAATTGTAAAGGTCCTGAGGCAAAAACCAGGTTGTTTTTGCCAAGGGTATGAGAGACAAAGATTAGAGCACTGCAACTTAAGTTACAACGGAGGCCATAACATCAGGGAAGTAAGGCAGGAGCCAGAGGGTTTCACGTCTAATAAAACCTTACTAAGCAGTTAGAGTTTATTTTTTTCAAAGTGTAGTTGAAAGCTCCAGAGAGCTGTTAAAGAGGACTGACTTGGTTGGTAAGATACAGAAACTAATGTGTGACATCTAAACCTGTGTTAGAGGGGAACAAGAATGGCATTCTGGAAATCAGTTAGGCTTTTGCCATGGGCAAGAGTTAATGGTGATCTAGTTCTGGGTGGTGATAATCAGTGTGGAGAAGGGTGAAATTCATTATATCCTGTATTTTATTATTTTTTTTGGAGAAGTTTTTGCTATAGGGCCCATGCCCTCGCCAGAAAGACAGAAAGAGACAGAGAGCAGAAAGCGAGAAACCACCCCCCAGGGGGGATGGCCACACTGCAATCCCTTCTCCTCCATTCCCTCCTCTAGATCTTGGGCACGCCCACACATGCGCCTGGCGTGAGTTTAAGCAACCAGAACTCGAACCACAGTTGACTACATGGGAGTTCAGCAACATAGCCATTACGCCAACTGCTGGTCCCTATAGAATTTAGGTTGTTAGCTTGAATAGCTAAATGGTTGTTATAACCATATACCAAGATGGGAATAACAGGAGGAGGAACAGTTTCGGAATAGAAGATCAAGTATTCCAGCCATGTTTGAAAGAGCCTTACAGATTTGCAAGTTGAAATGTTTAGGAGACAGGAATGATAACCTGTGTCTGGAACTCTAAGGAGGAAATGGTCAGTTTGGGGAGAAGTTGAATGTTTGTGGCAGTGAAATTCTTGGACTGGATGAGATAGTTTAGCTAAGAGAAGAGCAGAAGACGTCTAGCCAAGACTTGGTGTGGTGGACATTTAAATGGTGGACATTCCTTGATAACAAGGAAGAAGCCAGGAACCAAGACTCACAGGAGTCATCTGAGAGAAGATTGGTGTCCTAGTAGCCAGAAAACGGTGTTTTTATTTTGTTTTGTTTTGTATTTTGTGTGTGTGTGTGTTTTTTTAAAGAGAGATTTTTTTTTTTTTTGGAGAGATTTTCACTATAGGGTGCGTGCTCTCGCCAGACAGACAGAGAGAGACAGAAAGCGAGAAATCACCCCCCCAGGGGTATGGTCACACCGCAATCCTTTCTCCTCCTTTCTCGTCTCGGGATCTTGGGCACACACGCACTCGTGCCCGGGGTGAGTTTTAAGCCACCGGGTCCGGGACGTGAACTGCGGTCGACTACGTGGGAGTCCAGCGCGACATAGCCATTATGCTAACTGCTGGTTCCCTAAAGAGAGATTTTTGCTATAGGGTGCATGCACTTGTTGGAGATGCAGAGAGATAGGAAGTGAGAAATCACCCTCCAGGGGAGATGGCCATACTTCTGTCCCTTCTCCTCCATTCTCCTCTCAGGATTTTGGGCATGTACACACACGTGCCTGGCATGAGTTTTAAGCCACTGGATCTGGGACTTGAGCAGCGACTACATGGGAGTCCAGTGACGTAACCATTAAACCATCTGCTGGTCCCACAAGGAACAGTGTTTTAAGAAGGGAATGTAGTTTGTTTTGTTTTGTTTTTAAGTTGTTTCTGTGAAGTTATGTAAAAATAGGACAGAAAAGTAGTGATTGAGTTTGATATAATGAACCCATGTGACCTTGACAAGCAGGTTTAGTACAGTTGTAGATATACTAATTGGAGAGTTGAAAGAGAAGAGAAAGTTTAACTGTAAAGAGAAAATAGAACTGGGGCTAGCTGGTGGCATGGGATTAAGGTGACTGGATTCCACATGGCTTATTGCAGTTTGAATCCTGGACCAGGCAACTTGAAAAGCATCCCAGGTGCATGTGTATGCATACTCAAAATCCCAAAAGGAGAAATGAAAGAGAGAGAATTGCAGCATGACCATCCACCGTGGGGGGTGTTTTCTCACATTCCTTCTCTCTCTGTCTCCAGTGAG